AGAGAGAGAGAGAGAGAGAGATGATAGATTGATTTAACCCAGGGCAGTTTAGATTGCACAGGAAAAGATGGAAGGTCCACAGCATTTGTCTTTGAATGTCTGAGAAGGTGTATGTAGGCCTCATAAGCTGTAACCAAGACCACAGGGAGGAAGCAGTCAAATGTGTCTAAAGGCGACTAGTGAGCTCTCAGCTACTGGAAATGTATAAAGAGAACACGGCTGGTAAACTTCACAGTTGTGTTGCAGCATCCCTATGAGAACTTTACCAACTGATAAACCAGCTCTCCTATAGCCTGGAAATTCTAACATTCATTCTGACTTTTTACCTCTAGAAGCACAAATTTGAATAGGATCTTGGCTTTTTCTTAAATATTAAAATTCTTGCTAGTAGCAAGAATTTCCCAGGAGGCAGTGTGTATATTCCTGAACAAGAGCATTGCATTAAATAGACCAGATAGACATTACATAGTGAGCTGCTTGTATTCCGTGTGTAAAAATACATATAAAGGAAATCAAATTTGTGCAGCATGCCAATACTCTACTGAAAGGAAACTTGCCATTTTTAGTACATTGTGATTTCATGGTTTTTCTCCTCCTCTGGCTTGGTTTTTGGCATCTGTACCAGTGGAAAAAGCTTTACGCCCTGCCAAAGGGTAAGGAGCAAATGAGAAAGCAAGAAAATGAGATCGGATAAAGATATATTTGCAAATGGACCAGCCCACTCCTGAGGCCACAGTGAATAAGCATCAATGAAGTTCACTATTCCACTCTTGCTTCTCTCATGTTCCAGGTACCCCCTCGGCGGTCACTGTGCATGGTACCCAGACCCAGACCCAGCTGATGAAACTCATTCCTGGAGTGGAGTACCTGGTCAGTGTCATCGCCATGAAGGGCTTTGAGGAGAGCGAACCTGTCTCAGGAACACTCACAACAGGTCTGACTTTGTTGTTGTTTATGTTTTCAGAGACCACTTATGCATGCTGTGCCATTTCCCAACTTCAGCATTTTTACAAGACACAGCATCTAGAAATATATATCTGTTTATTTGTGAATTACCACTGGACCGGATTCAGATTGTCAGATGGCTTCGTGTCTGGCCCCATCCCTGGCCTTTTATGAGCTGGATAATCTTAGGTGTATCCTCTACCTCCCTGGGCCTCTGTATTCGGAATTCTGTGGGATAAAAGGTCCAAGTTCGGAAGTCACACTGGGTTGTAGTCCCAACTCTATCACTTACATGGGCTGCAAGCTGTAAGTTAATTTCCTGAGGTGCAGTTGCTTTGTCTACGAACTAAGCATAACTCTGTTTCCCTCACAAGTGGTACCACATGGAACTATAGAATTAGAGAACAAACAAAAGCAAACTCATTGCCGGCGAGTCTGAACCAACTTACAGCTGTTCCTCCAGCTAGTTTTTGGAGAAATCACATGGCAGGAGATTGACTATTTGCCTCAGAGCTGCCAATGGATGTGACCCACCAGAGAGCCACCACCTCGGGGTTAGCAGGACAACTCCCTATTCACTAGGCAACCAGAGCTCCTTATATATGTAAAGTTGTTGTTGTTGTTGTTGTTGTTATGCACTGTCATGTCAGAACCAACCCATAGCTGACCCTCCAGTAGGTTTTCAGAGATGAGAAAAATCAAGTGAGAAGATTACCCATATTTCTCTTGTGGAACAGCTGGTGGCTTTGAATTGCATACCTTTGTTTTGGCAGCACAATTCCTTACCATTTGTAAATGGAATTATGCATTTTAGACCTTCACATCCTTACTTTCCTTCTCTAATCCCCAAAGCCATTGTGAGGACACTTTGAAACAGAAGCTTCATCTAAAAGAGTAATGGTTACTTCTACAAAGCAGCTCTGGTTTCTCTGGCAGCTGTTGTATTGCAGGCCCTGATGACCAGCCCACAGGCTCAGTGCCCACAGTTGTTACTCTTCCTATTTCACAGGGGAGACAATGGAGACCTGGGAGATTAAATACCTTCAGCAAAGCCACCTAACTAATAAATCCGGGAATCAAATGGACACCTAGTCCAGCATGAGGCTAACGCCTGTATCTTTCCAGAAGAAAGGGCACTTTTCCTGACATAACCTGATTTGTATAACACACTGGAAAGAGGAGGAAATAATTACTTGCATTGAAAGAGAATGAAGTGGAAAATTTCTCTTCAGATAGCCTGCTGCAACCAAGTCTCTAAACAAGTTACCCTTTGATATATGAGCAATTACCCAATCCAGTCTATTATAGGGATCTAAAGAATGGGCCTCATAGGAAAATTTAAAAATATCCTGATAGCCTAAGACTTGATAATATGCAATTAAAATGTCCCATCAAGACCCAGAATCCTATCCACCCTGCAGCCCAGTCTTTTATCCTCCCCTGCCCCGCCCCCCAACAAATCTTTCATTTACTGATTCTCCACAGCAACAAATCACAACAGCTAACTGCAATTTCTCTGAAGGCTCAGTTGTCCCCACCCACTAAAGGAGATTCTGTGTACGTAAGATTGAAGCATGCAGGAACTCTGAGAAGAATATGACCCAGTCACATCCCGACTCTTTTTAAAATTTTTTTATTATTATTTTTTTAATTTTATTATTTGTGTGTGTGTGTACCGTCAAATTAGATCTGACTGGTACAGGAGGAGATTGCCCCTCCTTCTCCAGCAGAGCATCTGGTGGATTTGGACTGCACGCCTCTGGGATTGCAGTGCAGCTTCTTGCCACTAGGCGACCAATGCTCCCTAACATCGCAACTCTTAAACCAGTGGTTGAACCTCTTGAGCCTCAAGCGTTTCATCTCATAAATGAGCTGGTGGTACCCTTTGTCCTCCTAGATGGGGCTGGGCTGTGACTGAGTATGTAAAAGCAGGAAGAGAAAACCACATGAGTCTGATGTTTAAGAGTGAAGTGTTGTGCAGTGGTGGTGACCCAGGTTAAATAGCCCTTGTATATTCATACCTTCTCAGCACACAGCTTCTATAAGTCATTTCTAAGACTCCAAATAATTAACATGCAATATTCATAATAATTGCAATTATTGAGAGCTTCCCCAAACTCATCATAAACACATTGTCTAGTTTTTCCTCACCATTTGACAATTGAAGAAACTGGGGTTTATAAAAGGGAAGTGCCTTCCTAGGCCCACAGGCTATAGACAGAGAAGCCAATTGTCTTTGGGCCAATTGCCTTACTTTATATGGTGCTGGTTTAACAAAAATAACAGCAGAAATGATACTTTGATAAACATAAATGTATTTTCTCACAGTTAAGGAGGCAAGAAGTCTGAATTTGGGGCATCAGCTGAGGGGAGGGGTGCGGCGGTGGCAGTCAGGCTCTCTCCCTGTCAACTCTGAATAGAGTCCTTTCCTCTTCTTCCCAGAATTCCTTGCAAATCTCCAGGTAGCACTTCTCTCTCCCCCTTCAGTGCTTGCTTGTCTCTTTGTCCAGAGGTCTTTTCTTCATCTCAGTAGTGTTTAGGTTTAGAACCTATCTCTGTACTGATAAGGGAGCTCTGGAGCCTCGTGGTAAGAAGCTGCACTGTAATCCTGAAGGCACGCAGTTCAAATCTACCAGCTTAGCAGGAGAAGAACGAGCAATCCTGCCATGTGATCAATGCCTCTGAATATCAGCTGGAAGGTCATCTATGAGTTGGATCTGTCTGAGTCAACACAATGACAGTGATATGATGTCAACACAACAAAGAAACTTTTAGTCCCAAAATTGGGTATCATCCATAAGTATCAAGGTTAGGATAGAGGATTGACAACACAATATTTTGAGGAGAAAAACCTTGGTCTGTAACACCCAAGTCGAACCCAGGACCAGCTCTCTGTAAATTCTGCCTCTGTGATCTGCAAGCTCTCAACATGGAGATGGCTCCCAACCCAGAACAGCCTTGAGCGATTCTAAAACGCACTAATCTCCTCTATTCTTGTAAACTCTTTCCCTGGGGTAACGGATGTGAACAGTGATAATCTTTGTCATGCGTTCAGCCCTTTTCCAATTTATACAGCACCTTTCCACCATAATTTCATATAAAAAGCAGAACAGCACTGGAAATAAGGCCGGATGGAATTATTATCCCCATTATGCTGTAGTTGATGTGTATCACTGAGTCGATTCTGACTCATCATGACCCCACAGGACTGCTCATAGGGTTTCTGGATTGTAGTCTGTACAGAATCACTGCGGGTTTTCACCCACAAAGTTGCTGGTCAGTTTAAACCTCCAGTTTCTCATTTAGCCGCTTTAGAGTACTCCAAGCATTGGCCCTCCAGGTAGGTACTTTAATTCCCATTTTACAGATGAGAAATAGAAGTCCAAGACAGCTTACCCAACAAAGGGAATTGTGACTCCAGCCCAGACCAGCTGACCCCACGTCCAGGGCTGTGAAGCACCCCTTGCAGCAGACACTGGGATCTTCCACCAGGAGGGATAACAGAACAGCTGTGATCTCATATCCTACCCCATGATTCCCTGTCTCTCCAACGTCTCACCACCTTTCTTTGCAGCTCTGGATGGCCCATCTGGGCTGGTGACAGCCAACATCACTGACTCAGAAGCCCTGGCCATGTGGCAGCCGGCCATTGCCGCAGTGGATAGTTATGTCATCTCCTACACAGGAGAGAGAGGTAAGTTCCTGCCCGAGATTCTCAGCACTGGGAAAGGTCTATTCTGCCAGAACATCTTCCCTTCTCTCTCCTTTCTTCCATCTTTGATACAGGATGGCAGAATGTGTGGATTGGTTGGGAAAGTCAGTAATGGCCTTATGGTTCTTGGACACCAGTTGTCATTAAATGCACTTTGACACTGAGTGACACCCATGTGTGTTATAGGGAGCATGTGTGTCATAAGGAACAGTGTTTCCATGGCTACTTGTCCAGAATATATCACCAGGTCTTTCTTCTGAGGCACCTCTGGGTGAACTTGAACCTTTTGGCTAATAGCTGTGCATGTTTAATGTTGCCACTAACCAGCAACATTACAATACCCAAATACAACCTCAGAATGGACTCACAGGCAAGACTTAAAGGTAGACCGTCAAGTGAAAGTGTTTGTTCGGGGGTATCAAAGGAGGTTTTAGCAATAGTCCTGCACTGTTGTCAAGCTAAAGAGAGCTAACATTATAGTTACATCAAATGAATTTTCAAAGAGAAAATGTTCACCTCTAGCCTCCATATGTTTCCCACCTGTTTCTCCTCTTCTGCTGGTCTCTCTGCCTCCACGAGCTAACCGCCCTTTCCAAGGGCTGCTCTCATTTCTGACAAAGAAGGAATCCAAGATCTAAGCTCTTAAACAGGCTGTTTCCAGTAATGTAGTGGAGCCTGGGCCACAAAGGACCAACCACAAAGGAGTGGTGGCAAGCTTGATTTTTTTTTAAAGAGAAATTATTCCTCCGTGGTTGTGCAAACACCTTTGCTGACTGACTCACCAAACAGATTAAAACTTGCTTAGGGCATCAACAAAGTGTGGCCACCAGAAAGTAAGATCAAATAAGATAAAAATAAGAGGGAGAAGAGAAAGAGTGAATAAACCTGTAATTTTGTAATGAGCTACTCTAAAGAACACACTTGCTATTTTAATTTCAAAGACTATGTAAATGTCATACTTTGTGGCTCAGTATCATTTTACTTTCAGTGATAATGCAAACAACTGAAAACCTACAGTCTTCACGTTGATTCTGACTCTCAACGACGACCCTCCCTTGGGTTTCTGAGGTTGTAATCTTTACCTGAGAGGACTTCTCTCATCTTTCTCTCATGGAACTGCCCCAGTGGACTCAATGTCCTGATCTTGTTGTGTTGGGTTAGCAGACAAACACGAAATAGGCTCCATCAGAATGTCTGAAAGTGATAATCGAGTTCTGGTAACCACCTAAGAGAATTCTTTGTCAGGACAAGACAGAGTCAGGGCTTACATAAATTAGTTCTTTCCTCCACAAGGCTAAAACATTCCCAATGAATTTTTTTTTTTTAATTTCGTGTGCATGTACCATCAAATCAGATCTGACTGGTACAGGAGGATATTGCACCTCCTTCTCTGGCAGAGCGTCTGGTGGATTCGAACCGTGTTCCTCTGGGATTGCAGTGGAATAATTTTTTTGAGTCAGAAAAGATTCTATCTTTTAAACTCAACCCTTAAGAGATAAGAGGGTATATTGTTGGCACTGTTGACCCAGCCCAATCTTGCACTGTCTCATGAGCTCAACCATGCTCCTGAGCCCAGGCAGCCGCTGTGTCAGTACAGCTTGTTAAGGGTCTTGCTCCCTCACTGCTCCTGTGACTTTCCCCAACGTGATGAGATCAAATCACACAAATTATTTTTTAAAAGCATGTGAGATAAAATGCCATTATCCTTGCCTCTAATGAGCTCCCTGCTTACACTTCTGCCTAGACATACTTGTTTGGCTTTTTGGCAGTCCATGAGATATTCAATACTCTTAGATAACACCACAGTTCAAATTCTTCTTTAGTCTTCCTTATTTATTGTCCAACTTTCAAAACAATAGAAGATTTCATTACTTGAATCAGGTGGCTCTTAGTCTTTAAGATTCATCTTTAAAAGAATCATTGACAGGAGGTTTGCTCAATGCAGCACATCTTTTAAAGTCATGACTGCTGCTGTCATTTGTGTTGATTGTGAATCCAAGGGCAGATGCATGATTAGCAAAAGCCTGGTCCTCAAGGGCTGGTAGATAACTAGATAGGAGATCAGCTTGTCCCAGTTTGCCAAGGACTATACCAGTTTTAGCATAGCTTACAGACTAAGATAAACCAAGGAGAAAAGCCTAGCCATCTACTTCTTAAAATCAGCCAGTGAAAACTCTAGATCACAATGATCTAATTAGAAATTGATTAGGATGTAAATAAATATACAAAAGCCACAAGTGCCCCAGCATTCCATACTTGCCTCTCTTCAATGTGCAAGAGGCTGCATCCATCCAGCTGACACTGAGATTGATGAGACGCTCACCCTTATCCTGCAGGTGTGGCCAGACATTTCATTATTTTACCATTCTAGCATGCCCAAAGGCTGGCGAACTCTCGGCCAGAGATCCTTGGGCCTGTTTTTTTTTTCATTGTTCTTGGTCAAACATTCTTCTAGGTCCACTTGCCATACAGAGGTAACTTGTGGTTGCTGTGAGGCTGTGACACTGATGTGTCAAATGCAATAATGGTTACCCACAGTGGACAGTGTTTGGTGGATCTCCTCAATTTAAACAAGCTTGGAAGCAGGAGTGGCATCCACTTCCATAAAAGCTTGCCTCCGGAAACCTTATGAATCTGGAGAAAGGATGAAAGTCACACAAGTGTTGAGGACTTCAATTCATAGGGTCACCAAGAGTCGTCTATAACTCAATAGCATTTAACAACACAACAACATAAGTAAATACAGTGAGTGGGCTTCACTTCCAGAAGTGGGGCTGATGCAGTGGGGCTGAGTAGCAGTAACCAAGTTCCAGGCAGCTACGGTGTGGTCCCTTGGCTTAATGATTTGGCTTAATTATATACAAAGATATATGTGTTGGTTAAAGAGAGGACAGTGGGCAACAGGACAGGAATTCGAGTAGCTGAGACTTGAAGATGCTACCTGCAGCTCTCCTCTAGCTCATTCCTGTCTCGGCTGCAAAGCTGTTCCAGCCGGTACCATGTGGAAAATATATCCTGACCCCCAGTTCCCCTTCCTTCTGATTTGGTGCCTGGAAAAATCCAGTCTCCATATGATAAATCCTTTGAATACGAGGTGAGTACTCAAGAGAGAGAAGGGAGTGTGAGTCACTACCGAAATCAAATCTGCTTTTCTGTCGGGTCACTGAAAGTTTGTGCGTGTGTTATTTGCCAAGTCCTCCAGCGGTTTAGACCATGAGAGGTAATGGCCTCATGTGTATCTTTTCTGTTTAGTGCCAGAAGTCACACACACAGTGTCCGGGAACACAGTGGAGTATGCGCTGACCGACCTCCTGCCGGCCACAGAGTACACGCTGAGAATCTTCGCAGAGAAGGGGCCCCAGAAGAGTTCAGCCATCACCACTAAGTTTACAACAGGTAGGAAGGAATCAAGAGCTGGAAGTTCTTCTTTCCGACCAGCCTACCCAAAGCCTCTACCTTCAGTTGTAAACTCATAGTTCTTTCTGAAGTCAGGTTCTTGCAACGTGATTATGTCAACCAATGCTAAATTCACCAACGCCCACTCACTGAAGACCTTAAGAAGAACAGCTACTTCCTTTTGTACTGAGATGACCTCTCAGTCTCTGTACGGGCTAAGAAAGGGTTTTAGGAGGACGGAGTTTTAAGTGGAAAGCCAGTCCCCACTGGCCCTAAACCCAGTATTTAATGATCCATGCAGGGAAATGTTTTAAAGAGATTTTTCAGGCAAGTTTTTGTAGATGCCTATTGAATTTTTATACATTGATATATTTTTATAAACTCCAGGAAGTAGAGAAATAGGGGTCCTGTCCTCTCAGTAGGGGAGTGTCAATATTAATACGCATCTCTTCTTTACTGGGACAAGGAGGCTGGTAATTTACATTCACAGCCCAACTTTCTCCCCAAATCCAACTGAGACCATGTGGGACTCAGGACAAGTGAGCCCAAGGTCAAATAGGGAAAGGACTTGAACTGAAGCCTCCTGAAGCCTAGCCAAGGGTGTTTGTGTACACTTGATGATGTATTTGATATTAAATATCTTGTGCAGATCTTGATTCTCCAAGAGACTTGATTGCTACTGAAGTTCAGTCAGAAACTGCCCTCCTGACCTGGCGACGCCCCCGGGCTGCAGTAACTGGTTACCTCCTGGTCTATGAATCTGTGGACGGCACAGTCAAGGTATTTTGAAGTGTATAAGTGATTCCCTGCTGCTCTTTCAAGCATTTTCCTAATCCCCAGAGTGGGGATGGTATTATTTCTCTGTCCCATGAAAACTGGAGAGAGTTTGTTGGGTTAGGCAGTAGAGTTGTACTATCACCCTAAAGGCAGCAGGTTCAAATCCACCAGTTGCTGCTGGGAAGAAAGAATGGACAGTCACCTCTCATGCTATTTGCAGCCTCTGAAAACCTGCTGGAGTCAGTTTCAACTAAATAGCAATAAATACATTTTGAAGGAAGCAGAGGAGCTGGAGGGGGGAAAGCATAACAGGGCTGGTTGATAAGGCAGACCTTCTGAATTGTTTTAACCTTCACAGGCACCAGAGATTAGGGCTTTAATATGTCTTTAGTGGAGCAAAATGCAGTCTACAATAACATCAGAGCTTTTCCTGGGGTTGGTCTAACACTGAACTAATTCACTGCATGAACTGAGGCATCTATAAAATAATAGGACACATCTATCTTTAAGGTCTCCTCTTCTTAAGGAATTTCAGGATTTTGTGTCTATCTAAGCCATGAGTTTCATTCCATCTACCCTAATTGCCTAGGAAACAGCTTTGCACAGTAGCCTACGGACCTGGCAGGTAATTGGATCCCAAGTAATTTGATCAGCTTCACCTCATGACTGAAAAATGATCCTTCCTCCAGGGATCAGGCCTGGAGCTCCCCAAATGTCACTAGATCACTGATATTAAATGAATACTCATCTCAGATTACCATTCTGTATGTCCACGCCTCTACCTTATGTCACAGTCAAGAAATATGACCTGGTGTGGGAGAGTCCTGGGCAAGGCATACAAGCATGCAAGGCCGTCTCCTGTCACTGACAAGCCAAGAAGCCAGAGTAAACTGTCAGCCTCTATAAGACTTATCTCTTCCATGAGAAAAATCAGGATGCCATACCTGCCCCATTCTAATGACCCAAAAGAGCCTTCCCAGCACCATTGAGCTCAGTTACCTAAACCCAGGCTTCCAGTTTGCAGGTTGTTGAGAGTAGATATGCTTTGAGAGGAGGGTAGATTGACTTCAAACCCCAGGTACCAAGGCCATCTGCTAAAATATGATTGCACAGAAATTGGAAATTAGTAAGATATTTTTAAAAGAGAAGGGTTCTCCTGCAAACAGAAACCAGTGACCTCCTCAGGGTAGCAGCGCAACAGCCAGCTGCAAGCTGCTAACAGCGAGCAATGACTTGGGGCAGCTGTACACATCTGCCTCCCCCAGGCCCCTGTCCTGAAAGGAGACACACGGGGCCAGCTCAGGCCTTCATCTTGTCATATCCACTGAGTTAATAAAGCCATATCCTGACTCAAGAAATCCTAAATCAACCACACGTCAAAATCACCCAGAAGCTCCTCAACTACACACTTGGCCGGTCAATCCCTCTGGGCTATCAATATTCTGTCATTCTGGAATGGGGAACAGGCACCACATGGTTTTAAAACTTCCCAGGACACCATGATAAAGGGACATATTTGGGGGTCATTTAGCTAACTGATTTCCAAGTCTATACTTTTTGCCAAAGCTATTTTATTCATTCTTCTGTCCACAGGAAGTCATTGTGGGTCCAGACACCACCTCCTACAGCCTGGCAGAGCTAAGCCCGTCTACGCACTACACGGCCAGGGTCCAGGCATTGAACGGGCCCCTCAGGAGCAAGTTGATAGAGACCATCTTCACCACAAGTAAGGGGGCCATAGGTAGCAGCCCAGCCTTAGAAATATAAGGAATATAACGTTGTGAGACTGAATCAGCCCTCCAATTCCTCTGTGACCCTCTACTTAGAATTTTTCAAATAAGCCCAATGTCCTTCTTTTTTAAAGGCCCAATGCCCTCCTACTACCTGCAGCGTCCCTGAGTGACACAAGCAGTGAGCTCAAACACTAGATGAGACCCTGGCAGCCTGAACTCACTGAGAAGCTCCTGGGAACTCAGGCCCAGCTATCTGCTCCTCAAAGATCAGAGCCTTGAAAACCCCATAAGCAGTTCTACTCTGAACACCTGGTGCCGTGTGTCAGAATCAACCAACAATAACAACTTGTCCTGCCAACCCAAAGAATGTGGACGCAGAAGGCCCTGGACACCATGGGAAAGGGAAGGGACTCTGGTAGTAAGAACAGTTGCATCAATCTCCATGGCCACCAGTTGCTTTGTAACTTAAGTTACTTCTGTTTTACATAACTTGGTGTCTTCATCTGTACAATGGGATTAATAATCAACCTGTCCTCACATGAACCTTTTGAGGATTAGAGGAGTTTGTTGTTGGGTGTTAGATGCCATCAAGTCGAGCACAACTCATAGCAACCCTATGAACAAAAGATCTGAACCCTGTTCTATCCTGCGCCATCCTCACACTTCCTGACACACAAGAGCCCATCGCAGCAGTCACCATGTCAACCCACCTGGCAGAGGGTCTTCCTCTGCTCTGTTTGAACTCCTAGCCTAATAAGTGACCATGTGTAGGATTCATTATAAGCTTAATCTCCCCTTCCCCTCTCCCTCAGAACTTTAGAGTTTATAAACATCTTTATAATCATAAACTCAAACAATTCTCCAGCAAGCTGGGACAGGGCCCGGGATTATAGTGCCTGGTTTCCTGGTATGGAAATGGAGGCTCTCAGAGACTAAACCAACCTTTCAAGGCTCTACTGTGAGTTAAAGTCAGAGCTAGGCTTCCAGGACCCTGCCACTTAGTGCCTCCTGCAGATGGTACACGTGTACCTTGTTCCATTTCTGAGGAAGGGAGGAGCTAGCCTTTACAAAGCCTGAACTCAGGATCCACCAAGTAGGTATCACATTTCTCTCAGCGTCTTTCTCCCATCCTATCTATCTCCTGTCTGCTGACGGAGGTGTTTCCTCTGTGCCAGCTCACACCAGCCACTGAGGGCACAAGAATATAAGCCTGCCCTAATCATGCTCTTGGACTTAGGCTGAGAAACAAAGAAACAAAGAATAAAAGATTCCAGGTGCGGGCTGAGGAGGTAAAGCACAGTTAAAGAGCAATCAGGTCAGGAGAAAAATACCTTAGCCACGGGTTCTCGGGAACCTTCTGTGCACAGCCTGGGAGGTCTGTTTCTGCCACACGATTACTTTTCCCTTTCATATTATCATACTTGGAAATAACTCACACATTCCTGTTTTAGTTCTCTACGATCATCAAGGCCAACAGCAGTTAGGTAATTTCTACAATGTGACACAGAAAGGAAGATCCAATCCAGGACTAGAATCTTGGTCTCTGCTTTCAGAGCCCTCTGAAGAGGTTGAGGTTTGACTGCACTGTGGATTAAAAATGTATTTGTCTGGGAGAGCAAAAATCCAAATTCTTTTCTCAAAGTTTCAAGTCAGCTTCATCACAGGCCTTGATGCACAGTGACCTGCTCACTCTGTGTTTGGAAGCCCAACCGTGCTGACCAGACTCCTGCATGTCCATCGAGTCCTAGGGAGCCATTCTACAGATGTCAGATTGACTTTCCATATACTGCTCACAATGCTCAACCTCCTTCCAATGGCTCTTAAAGCATCCATAAGTTATAAAGAACTGAAATGGGCCCTTTGTATTCATAACCTCTAAGTTCCTTCAGTGCCCACAGAGAAGGTTTAATCCTCATTTTTCATATAAGGAAGCAGACAGAACCTTGGGAATGTTACATTGTTTGCCCCTGGGAATCTTATCAATAAATAGTCGAAAGCCCTTACCCCTGTCTTTATGTCCCTAAGAGTCATTGTTTCCTCTTATCCCACAGTCGGACTCCTGTACCCATTCCCCAGGGACTGCTCCCAAGCAATGCTAAATGGAGACACGACCTCTGGCCTCTACACCATCTATCTGAATGGCGATAAAGCCCAGGCCCTGGAAGTCTACTGCGACATGACCTCTGATGGGGGTGGATGGATTGTGAGTATCCCCAAAACAGACTCCAGAACTCTCGCGCACTGAGGATGGGGTGGTGAAGGGGTGTCAGGGGGGAGGGAGGAGGAGGAAGTGCCCCTGACACCTGTGCACATGAGGCTTTGCAAGACAGCATCAACCACATAGAAACATTCAATAATTATTAAGTGCAGGAAAGGAAACAAGTAGAGCTAAAGGACAAGGGGGAAGATACTCTCACAACTGATCTCATCTGGTCTTCCTCCCACAACACTATGGCGTACAATTGACAGCAATCACGGAGCCCATTACTGATAAGACTTTGCACTGAGCAAGCAATTGCTGTCAGCCGGTGGCCACAGGAGCTAGAGTTCTTTCCACAGTCCAGTGAATGCTCTTCCCTTTGATAAAAGAAGTGCATCCAGATTCACTGGTCTCGTTTGCAGGTGTTCCTGAGACGCAGCAATGGACGGGAGAATTTCTATCGGAACTGGAAGGCCTATGCTGCTGGATTCGGGGACCGAAGAGAAGAATTCTGGCTTGGTAATGCTACCCTGAGCTTTGGCTTCTACCTCCCGGTGCCCATTACTGCCTCTTTTTCCTTTATCCCGACCCACAGCAGCCTAAATGAAAGAAATGGATTAAAAGGAGATGGTAGTTCTGATGTCAGACTCAGAATTTTGCAAGCTCAGGTGAAAAAACTTCAGTTGCTCTGGGCTGTGAAATGTAAAACTGAGGAAGCGCCAACAGTCAGGCCTTAGGAACTGAACTCGTCTCAAGACATTCACTGAACTGTCCACATTGATCACACTGCCCGCTTCTGTCCCAGACAGTGGGCATTAAAGTGGATGGTTCAGGGCTCTAATGGGGTTGGTTATGGCCATGAACCCTAATCCTCCTAGCACACCCCTCCCATAGGCAGATCTTATCTCCATTTTGCATAGGAGAAGGCAGAAGCTCCAAGAGTTTAAGTTGCTTGCCAATAGAAATCTCACTAATAAGTAAATTGAGCTGCCAGATCTTGCCGATTTTGACAGCTCCAAACACAACAGGATAACAGCGTATCTATCTACACATGTGACCCACATTTCCCTACAATTTGCTCCACACAGAGCAGTGCTCTATGCGCTGATGCCAGGCTACGTCTGTTTGCCCACAGCTTTTCATTTGTGTTGAGCTTTGGAATTTAGCAGGCCCCTTATCTCCTTTGATCTCCACAACAAACTCAGAGGTTGGCAGAGCAAAGCTTATCAACCTGAGTTTACCTGAGGGTCAGAAGCATTACATCTATTGCCTGGTTTTACACCATCACAGGGCAGGCCAGGTGGTAAGCCTAGGTTGGTGCCCCTCAAACCTCTTTGCAGCACAGCTGCTGATGTTGTAGAGAGAATGCAAATGGGAACCCCAGCTTCTGTGCTTCTTCTGCAACCCCTGTCTGTCCTTCCCAGGCCTGGACAACCTGAATAAGATCACAGCCCAGGGGCAGTACGAACTCCGAGTGGACTTGCGAGACCATGGAGATACAGCCTATGCCGTGTACGACAGGTTCAGCGTGGGAGACGCCAGGACACGCTACAAGCTGAAGGTGGAAGGGTACAGCGGGACAGCAGGTACAGGCCAGTCCCTGGAACCTCATTCCTCCACACCCTTCTTTCCTTCGTTAATCCGCCCACTTGTGGATGCAGCAGCTATCTGAACGCCTAAAAGAAATTGCCATTGAGTCAGTAGTTCTCACTCCTGGAGATGCTACATGAGCAAGAGTCACACTGTTCGCTACAGTGTTTTCTTTGCCAGACCTTTCTTCCTAGCTACCTCTGGTTGAACATGAGCCTCCAATCTTTCAGTAGCAGGTGAGCGTGTTAACCATTTACACTATTCAGGAACTCCTTTAAATATTGGTACACATCAAATCATGTGCTCCCCCCCAAAAGGTGTTTTGCAAATCCTAACCTCTGTCTGGGAATTATAATCCCTGTGGGACATGGCTGCTTTTGTACAGCAGTGAGCAGAATTTGTGCTGGTGGTGTTGTGTGCTGTCAAGTCAGGACCAGACCATAGCTGACCCTCCAGTGGGATGTCAGAGGTGGTTAATCACACAGGAGGAGATTGTCCATCCCTCTCATGTGGAGCAGCTGGTGGATTCAAACCACATGCCTTCGGAATTGCAGCACAGTTTCTTGCCACTAGACTACCAGTAGGGTGCACATTTTTTAAGCTAGCTCTAGTGGCCTAGTGGCAAGAAGCTGCATTGCAATCCTGAAAGCGTGCGGTTCGAGGCCACCAGCAGCTCCACAGGAGAAAAACTGGCAATTACCTGTTAATCACCAGTTAATCTCCTGTGTGATTAACTGCCTCTGAAAACCCGCTGGAAGATCTGTTGCAACTACAGTACACAACAACAACATGGAAGAGATTAAACAAGCGAGCAGAACAGAGGTGGGGAAGCACATGCCAAAGCACATGAAGACTTCCCGTGAACAGGAGTGCAAAGAGACAAGGGCCTCCATCCAGAGTCTGGAGAACCAGTGTCCTGAATCCAGACATCTCGTTTCCTAAACGGTGAACATTTGAATTTCCGATGCTGTGGGCAGAATATTAAATGATCCAGGAAGTATTAAAAGAAGATGGAAGGAATATACTGAGTCATTATATAGAAAGGAATTGGCAGATACAGAGGAATT